CAACCTGGCCAGGTTTCTGCAAGGTGAAAGGTGGGTGCGCCCCCGTCAGTGTAGTCATGCTTATTGTTGAGGGGAGGGGCAGGCACGCGTGCACACGCGTGCACACACACAACACCCGTACAGTATTTGGAACTGCTTAGATCTGACCATTAAAAGGAGAGTAGGGGGGCTGGAGCGATAGCACAGCGGGTAGGGCGTTTGCCTTGCACGCGGCTGACCAGGGTTCGATTCCCAGCATCCCATATGGTCCCCCGAGCACCGCCAGGAGCAATTCCTGAGTGCATGAGCCAGGAGTAACCCCTGAGCATCACGGGGTGTGACCCAAAAAGGAAAAAAAAAAAGGAGAGTAGGGTAGGCACTATACCATAGAAAAATAAAGACTGTGTTATTTTTTATTTAAAAAGAAAAAAGAAAAAAAAGGAGGGTGGGGCACTTGCCTTGCACACAGCAGACCTGGGTTCAATATCCAGCATCCCATATGGTCCCACCCCACCTTCCCTGCCCGGCTCCGCCAGGAGTCATTCCCAAGTGCAGAACCAGGAGTGAGCCCTGAGCATTGCCAGGTCACAATACTAAAGTAAATAAACAAACAAAATGGAAGGAGAAAAGAAAGTCCAACTTCAACTTCCTAAGCAAGCGCCCATTAGACTCTGCCGGGCAGAGTCTATAACATTCCCAACGCATGTCTTAAAGCAGCTTCCAAACTGGAGATTTCCACCCTTCGCCCCCTACTCCCCTCGGAGGTGTGGCTGCAGAGCCCTCTAAGCCCTCCCGGTGCGTATCATACCGTGAATCTTAACTTCTCCTCCCTGAGAAGGGGGCCCGGTTCTGCCCGGTCTCCAGTTCCCTGAACAGAACCAAGGATGCAGTTTTTCATCAGAAACAACCATGTCCCCCGCTCAGATGTGATTCGAGAGACTTCCAGCAGTAACTCCGCACTGTGCGCTGACCAGGGGCCACGGCCTCCCCGTGGTATTTCTATCAGCAAGATTCCTGACTCAAGCCCAACTGGAGGCAGTCCCGGCAGGCTTGGGAGAGCTTGGGCGTGGGAAGGCACGAAGCAGGCCCAGATGTGAAAGTCCCTCACACCCACCCACTCCCCGGCTTACTCCCTCACGACGGTCCCAAATTATCAGACCAAATGCAGCCGCCTGCCTCTCCGGGAATGTGCAGAAAACTCCACCACCACTTGGTTCACCTGTAAAAGGCCGTCTCCTTGGGGCCCCAGGGGTCCCCACTCTGAGGGTCAAGGAGCGCCACACTCGGACCAACCTGGAGGAAGGACATCTCGACTTCCACCGGAGACCCGGTTCTGACTTCTCCGGAGAAGAACTTCTCCCTCTCCCATCCTAATCACGTAACACACTCACCCTCCCCCAGGCCTCCAAACCCTCCTGCTGAAACTGGCGAGAGGCCAGTTACCTGGGCTCAAAGGAATTAGCCCATGTCTGGGACTCCGATGGAAGGGATCTTTCCCGAAGCACCTGTGTGCTTCCTTTCCCCTAAAAAAGCAGGAGAGAGTCAGCGAGAGAGTACCCGGGGGTAAGGCGGTTGCCTTGCACGGGGCTGATCGGGGTTCAAGCCCTGGCCACCCCACAGTGTCCGCTAAGCCCTGCCAGAAGAGTGCAGAGCTGGGGTAAGCCTTGAGCACTGCCAGGTGTGGCCCCCAAACAAACGAATAAAAAGAAAACGTATGTGTTGTGCTGTGTTTAGACCACAATACTGTGTTCAATGCCACGACACCTCTCTCATAGTCCCCCATCCATCAATATGACAGTCACAGTCTGGAGAACGGGGCTCCATCCAGGAAGCTAGACACTTGACCTATTTCAACTCAGGACAAATTTATTATCAGGCAGACTGACTCGTCTGCATTTATTCCTATCTACTGTATGTAATGGGCCAGAGCGATAGCACAGTGGGTAAGGCATTTGCCTTGCACGCGGCCGACCCGGGTTCAATTCCTCCGCCCCTCTTGGAGAGCCCGGCAAGCTACCGAGAGTATCGCCCACACTGCAAAGCTTGGCAAGCTCCCCATGACGTATTCGATCTGCCAAAAACAGTAACAAGTCTCACGACGGAGACGCTACTGGTGCCCGCTCAAGCAAATCGATGAGCAACGGGAGGGCAGCGCTACTCTAGTGCTGAACTGCCCGTGTGTCTCCTGGGCCGAGGGGAGAGAAAGGACTGCCTTCTCGCGGGTTTCTGCATCCCGAGCAATCCTGAAGAGCTTCCCTGGCCCCAGTCCATCTACCCTCTTCCCATCCACAGGCAAGAAGATTAAAGTGGGGAGCCCCAAGGATGCCATCTTGGGAGCCCCACAGGCTGCCGGGGGTTGAAAGGCTGAATCATCACGGCCTCCCGGGCTGGAATGTCTGGGGTACGAGTCTTCACTGGGCCTCTGCCAGGCAGAAGGCAGCACCCGGCTCCCGCTGGAACCAGAGGGCTTAGCACCCTGCACCCACACGCCAGAGCTGCACACGGTCAAGTGACTGGCAGGAAGGGCTGCGTTCCAGGAGAGCAGATGCCACCCCGCAGCCACACAGGTGGGGGGGAGAGGGTGTGGGGAGAAGGCTGATGACAGGGTCGTGGGAACAAGCACCCTTTCGGTCTCCAGACCCGGAAGCTTCCAGGGGCCACGCCCACGATGGCTGTGCCACTCACTCAGCCCAACCGGAGCAGCACACAGAGCCAATGGTGACACGCCCGAACATCATGTTCTACTTTCCATTTGATTTTTTGGTGTAGGGGCCATCCCCTGCTGTGCTCAAGGTCCTGGGATCAGAGGTCATCCCTGGGAGCGCCAGGGTGCTGCGGATCAAGCCGAGATCAGCCACATGCAAGGCAAAAACACCTTAAACTATCTCCCCAGTCCCATCCCGATGTTTTGAGGGGTCTGGACCTCAGGGGCTACTCCTGACTCTGCTTTCAGGGACCACTCCTGGGGGTGCTCGGGATATGTCATGCTGGAGATTCTAACTGAGGTCAGCCACATGCAAGGCAAGCGACTGACCCCTCTTCTGTACGATGTCTCTGGCCCCCAGCCTATTGTGGCTTTGAGCATCTCCTGACCAACAATGTTACCTGGGAGAACTCTGATCTCATGATCCTCCTCCGTGGGCAAGGTGAGAATGTCAGAATCCCAATCTCAGAGGAGGAGGGAAGTAAGGACCCAATAATACAGATGTCACACCAAGGGGTGGAGGGGGACTACAGGAGCCTGGTGGATCAAACATGAGGGGGTCGATGTGAGTCCGGCCACCGTGGGCCATACTAGATATGGTGGGCCTGGTAAAACAGGTCCCTTGACTGCAATCCAAACTTCAGTCCAACTCAGGGGAAACCACCAGGGCTGGGGGTCAGGTGTTGTGGCTGCCCGAGGCTTAAATCGTCCAGGTCCCCATTCCTAGGACCTGGTGACACGTGGAGAGCATGGCAAAGTGGCCCCACCTTCCCCGTGTGAAAAGGGAACAGCCACAATGACACACGAGAGCATGGAAATGACCCCTGCAGTGTAAAGACGGCGGCTCCCGGTTGGACGCCAGGCCCAGGATGCCCCCCAGAAATAATCAAGCATTCCCGTGGCTGACCTTCAGAGTCATCTCGGTCACTGCCTTCTGGTTTCTGGGCCACACCCAGCAGTGTTGGGGGGGGGGGGAGGGTGCTGGGTGGTCATTACTGGCCAGGCTTTGGGTGTGCTGGAGATGGAAGCCAGGGCTCCCCCATCAGCCCTCCGAGTTTATCTCCCTGTCTCTGTCATGTCAAACTGGGAGACACCACGGCTCCGGGCCTGCATCCTAACTAACCACCCCGCGCTGAGCCCCACCTCTGCAGGACCCCACAATCCCAGCAGCAGCCCCAGGCCCCAGCTCCTGCCTCTCAGGTGACTTCTAGGAGGAGAGAGTTCTCCAGGGTTGGTGGGCCGGCCTGAGTCACACCCAAGCCCCGCCCGCCTCTCACTCCGAGGTGCCAAGGATGAGGTCCACGCCCTGGACAGGCCTGTTTCCCATTGTGGAGGAGAAGAAAACGGAGGGAGCATCCCTTGGCTGGCAGGGCTGCAGAGCCAGTCGGTCCGCCGCTCCGCCTCTCACCTGGAGGGGCACCCCTTGTTTGAACTCACAGCCAGGCTGACTTCGGCCGGTGGTAAACCAGGGTTTACGCTGGCTGGCTGGCTACTGCGTAAGCAGGACAGGTCAGCCCCACGGGGCGTGGGTGAGCCGGGTGTCTCTCTCTCTCTATGCCAGGCGGGCACGGATAAAATGCCTAGACTATGTCTTAAACACACACACACACACACACAGACACTGGCAAAGGCAGCCTTTGGGGGAGAGGGACTTTGCAGCCCTGCTGGGAGCCTGCATCTTCATTTTTCACGCTGGCTGGACAGGGGGGAGGTGTGTGGGTGCATGGAGCTGCATCCCGGGTGGGGGACCCCCATCTGCAAGCCTCCCCGCCTAGGCCTCCATCCGCCTCAACAGCTGATCGGAAATTACAGCTTCGCGGCGAGGGCACGAGCAGAAGAGGAAGGGGGAAAAAAGAAAAAAAAAAAAACCTAAAAAAATTCCATTCGCACACGCCGCTCCAGACCCGAGGCCTAGGAGCAAAGTTTCCGGTGGCCCCGGCGCCCCTCCCCGTTCCGGGAAGCCCCGCCGCGGGTCACCCCGACCCGGGAGGAGGAGGGAGCAGGCGCGACAGCTGGGGGGCGGGCAGCCGGCTCCCCCGGGGCGGGGACCCCCGATCTGGGATGCCCGGCGGCGCGCGCGCGGCTCCTGCATCCCGGGGACCGCTCCTGCGCGCAGCCCACGGGGCTCGGACCCTGGCCAGCAGGGGGGCTCCGCGGGCACCTCCCGGCGCGGTCCCCGGGCCCGGCGACCTCGGGGCAGCTTCAAGGACACTGCAGCGCGCCTCCGGGGCTCGGGGCGGGGGCGGGGGGGGCTTTCCCGCGCCCCCCGACCCGTGCGCCCCGACGCCCCCCGTGCGCCCGGCCCCCGGCCGCTCACCTTCTTGACCTGGTCATCCTTGAGCTCGGTGAAGTAATAGGCCAGGAGCTGCGCGGCGATCATGCTGGCGGCGGGCGCGGAGCCGGGCGGGCTGCGGTCCTCCTCGGGCGGCTGCTCGGGGCTCCTCCCCCTCCTCCTCCTCCTCCTCCTCCGCGCCGTCCTCCCGCGGCTCCTCCCCCCGGCCCGCGCGCTCCCGCGGCGGCCCCAGGGTGACAGCCGGCGGCCGGGCCCACCCCCGGGCGCCCATTGGCTGCCGCGCGCCTCTGCAGCGCGGGGAGGCGGGCGCGGGGCGGGGGCGGCGCGGGGGTCCCCGGGCCGGGCATCTCCCGGCACGTCCCCCACGTAGGGCGGCGGCGCACGCGTGCCCGGCCCGGGAAGCGCGCGCGGGGTGCGGGGTGCGGGGTGCGGGGACGCGGGGCGCTGCGCCCGGGGCCTGGTGACGCGCTCCCGCGCCCCGGCTCTCCGCCACCCCGCGGCCGTGCCCCACCCAGTGCCCGCGGGCAGCCCCGCCCCGGCCCCGGAGATGCCCGAGCGCGCGCGGCTGGCACCCCAGGGCTCCCCAGGGCCCCCGCGCGCAGCCCGGCCCGGCCTTGCTCTCCGCCCCGGGGGGCAGCGTGCAGGCCGGCCTCGGTGCCACCGTTCTGCCTCCTCCTCGGGGGAATCCCTGGAAAATCGCCCCGGCCTCGTTGGTGCTTAGATCGCTCTTGAGAGCGACCCTGGGATTCCTCGAGTCGGTGCCCGGGTGTGCCCGGCGCCACCGGGAGCTTTGCCGTGTATTTTGGGATCCCAGAATGGAAGTCGCCTCCGCCGGGGCGCATCGTGTCTGGGTGTTGCAAAGCGCGCGCGCGCACACACACACAAACACACACTCACACTCACACTCACACACAGCCCTGGATCCCGTGGCCCTAGGGGCCCCCAGTTCGGAGCACTGCTCCCACCCCTGGCTTTATTTAGGGTTGCGCCCTCCTAGTCAGCTGGGCTCTGATCCTGTTTCCTCACCTGCAAGTTGGAGGCCCTCATGCCCACCCTTTCTGAAATGCCTGCCTCTAAATAATTGATCATCGGAAGGTTGTTGTTTTGTTTAGTTCTTAATCAGAGGAGTAAGGGAAGCTGGTAGATTTCAGGATTTCCACTTAAATTCCCCCCCCCCCCACACACACACACACACACATTCCTTGCCCTCAGAAGGCCTAGCAAGATTCTATTTGTAATTTTCAATTTTCCAGAGCGGTTCATTATTTAAACTTAGAGCCCCATAAGCCCAGGATGTCACGCCTGTACATACACATACCAGGAACAGAAAGGATTCGGGGGTCTCCATCTAGCACCTCCATCAAGCAAGGCTGAGTGGATGGAGAAGTAACAGGCAGGTCCAGCTCTTGCCGTGCACATAGCTCACCTGGGTTCAATCCCCAGCATCTCAGACGATCTCCTAAGCCCTGCCAGGAGTTACCCCTGAGCACAGAGCCAGGAGCAAGTCCTGAGCAATGCAAGGCATGACCCCAAACCAAACAAAAAAAAGCAGAACTAAGCAAAGGAGAACAAGATGGTGGTTCTTTAGCGCCTCGTGAATCCTGCAAACGTGGTCCTGCCAGACTCATCACTAGTCTCATGCCCACCATCCCGATTTGCACAGAACCAGACCCTGGAAGTCCTGAGGAAGGAGCCTGTATAGGTGGCTGGAAACACTCCCCTGACCCCAAGCCCAGGCCAACACTCCACACCCCCACTATGAGCCAAGTTGCTTATCTGAGCTGGAACCAGGGAGAAACTGGACATGGGCTGGCCCAGCTACCTGTGTGCAGGCAGAGAGGTGAGCCAGGCCGCCTCTCTGGCCTTGGAGAAACTCACGATGACTCACCGCTCCTCACCGCTGGAAATATTCCTAGCTGCAGGCCCCGAAAGCTAGGACTAGGTCCTGAAAAACACCCCCAGGCCTGCTGCGCTGCCTCCTCCCCATCCGTTTTCCTCATCCTCTTCCAGAGGACTCTAGCTGCCCACGCGGGTCCCTGGCCACCCGCCAGCCTGGTCCAGGCCACATTATTCCTGCTAAAAGCAGCCTAATCACATCACAGCGCTGCCCCCTGGCCCTCCATGACCTCCGCCTTCCTGCTGGAGCCAATTTAAACATCTCTGCCTGTGGCCTAAGGCCTCTGCCAGCTGCCTCCAATCGCCCCGTGGGCCCCAGCAAGGCCACGACGCACGATCCCAAGCCCCACGAGTCCATCCAGGGTGCTCTCCCACTGCTCCCGCCTTCCCCCACCTTTTCCACTCACGCGCCTCTCACCACGGCCCAGCTGCCCCAGCCACCCTGGGCCCCTCTCCCCACCCCAGGTCTGGCTAACTCACCCCCGTCTCCCAGGCCTCAGCACCTCCGCAGGACAAGCTCTGACAGTGCTCGGAGTCCATCTAGCAGCGGCCCGACTCTCTTCTCTGCAGACCAGGACGCTGCGAGGCAGCCTGTGGGCCATCTTGCCCCGTGTGCGCGGCCGTCGGGAGCCCGGGACTCAGACCCGCCGCTGCTGCCCAGACAGTGCTCTGTCCATCCTTCCCCACCAGCTCACACAGCCTGGGCCACAGATAAGTAGCACTGAGTCACGGCAATGGGCCTGATACTGCAGACTGTCTTCAAGGGGGGCAGCCTTATCTGCCCCAATCAGACAGCACCCTAGGTCAAACCTCACGTGGCGGCGTTGCCCTGCTCCCCTCACCCCAACGCTCGACCTCGCTCCCTGCTCTCGAGTGCCAGTTAGGGCTCACGCTTGTTGTTTAGTCCCTCAGACCCGCAGCCCTGCTTCCTGCTCCCCACAGGACCAGCCCCTTCCCTCCATGGTGCTGGGGTTCTCTTGGTGCACTCACGGGCTTTCCCTTGCACAGATGGGGAATGGGGGAGGCGGCCAGACCCACTGGCCTGCTGGTCTGACCGACCCTCCTCCCCACACACACTCCCCGCCACGAATCCCACCTGCTGCGACAAACAGGCTGCAGCCAGGTGGGAAGACAGCGACTCACACACAGCACACACAGCCCTGGAATGTGCCTCCAGAAATTCTCTGCAGAGTGCCCGTGTGACAGCAATGTTTGATAATGTTGACAGTTTACAGTGGGTTGCACAATCATTGCCTGATTTCTCTCGATGGAAGTACTGATAACAGGCGAATGAGCCGAGGAGAGCAAATACTATTAGCTGCACTTCATCAGTCAATGAGGGGGACGGAGATTATAGAGCTTGTATAAGGTTTGCAAGAGAACGAGAGAGAAGGAACGCGGAGACCCAGCACCCAGCTTCCGAACCTGCCCAGTGGCCCGGGCATCAAGAGGGCAGAGGTGGAGCAGGAAGGGTTAACTGGACGCTGCCTGCCTCAGACCCGCTCCTTATCTCCGCAGGCTCCTTCCCCCTATCTTGTGGGAACAGACAATTGCCCCATGCTCGCCAGGAGTTCCCTGGGATCCCCCACCACGCCTCACCCCAAAGCAACCTGCAGGGAGACAGCAAAAGCCGCTCACTCCTGCTGTTCGGAACACCAGAAGCAGAGGCCCCGCTAGGGCACTGGCCTCGCACGCAGCCAACCCAGGTTCGATCTCCAGCATCGATCCTTGGCGTCCCATATGGTCCCCTGAACACTGCCATGTGTGGCCCAGAAACCAACACAGAAATAATCAGCCAAAAATATTTTTTAAAACAAGAAAAGAAAAGGAAAAGAAAAACACCCAATGCGGAGAGAAATGCCACACGGGGAGTGAGTGCGCCTTGGCAAGACCCTCCCAAATGAAGCTTCTACTTCCCTCATCTTTTATTTGGTTAACAAAAGGCTTGTTTTGTTTTTGTTTTGAAGTTATTTCTATCACCTACCGCAATAAATTCCTAAGGGAAAAGATGTTCTAACCCAGAGACAGACATGTCAACAATAGCTGCTTTTTTTAACTAAACATATTTGGGGCATGGGGTGGGGGGATAGTTCAAAAGACTGTCAAAGACATGCTTCACGGGGTTGGAACCATAGCACGGTTGGTAGGGCGTTTGCCTTGCACGCGGCCGACCCGGGTTCGATTCCCAGCGTCCCATATGGTCCCCTGAGCACCGACAGGGGTAATTCCTGAGTGCAGAGCCAGGAGTAACCCCTCCCCTGTGCATCGCCAGGTGTGACCCAAAAACCAAAACCAAAACCAAAAAAGACAAGCTTCACATAAGGGCCTCGGGTTTCATCCCCCAACCACACCATCCCTGAGCTTCCCAGGAGCATCCGTATCACCTCCCATTTGAGGACCACACCCAGAGATGTCTAGGGACTATTCTGTGCCCAGAAATGAGCCCTGGCAGTGCTCAGGGGACCCTATGTGCTGCTGGGGATGGAGCAGAGGTTGGCCCTAAGCAAGGCAAGCACCTTACCCTTGTACTAACTGTCTGGTCCCCTGAGATCTCCATTTTACAGAGAAGAATACTGAGTCACAGTAACATATCCCAGGTCCCACGGCTCCTGGTGTCTTAGGCAGATTGACTCTGAACTTCACTGGCTTTCTAACAGGTGAAGATTCGTTTCCGTATCACCCTTGTTTCTCTCACCCTCCACCCAGACACTTCAATATTGCTAGCGTCCCTCTGGTCATTTCTCCTTTTCCTTCCTGCTGGCTGAAATGCAGATGGACCAGGAGCCTGAGAGATAACACAACAGGTAGAGCATCTGTCTTATGCACAGCCGACCTGTGTTTGATCCCCAGAACCCCAGGTGGTCTCCGGAGACCCACCAGGAGTGATCCCTGAGCACAGAACCAGGAGAAGCCCTAAGAAGTACCCAAACAAAAACAAACAATAAAGCCAATGAAAAGCTGACAGACTGACTGGAGAGCCAAAAGTCATCCTGGAGTTTTGCATAGCACTAGCAATGGCAGTCATATAAACGTAGGCAATAAAACCAAATTAGTTTCTATCTCTGTGTTTCTATCAAGGTGTCCCATATCAGTCCCAGGCTATCTGCATATTTCTAGAACTTTCTCCTCCTAGAAAAATTGAATTCCAGTGGCTTTACCCAACTGTCATTTTTCTGTTTTCTGCTCTTCACAGTCACATCTAATCCTGGTCTACAGCTTGGACAAATAGGAG